CCCGTATAATGGGATAAAGCATTAAAAGACATACAATGGGTGGAACACGTCTAAAGCCGAGCCGCGTATAATACACCTACACAATTTTTCCGCGACAGAAAGGGAATAGACGTACACAGAGATGTTCTACATTTCCTTTTCTCGTCTTTTTGCCGCGCCGTAACGCGTTGCAAAAGATAGGTAAGATGAGGAGCAGTACAATCTGGACAATGCCACGAGGATTTCAAAGTGCTTTCTCCGTGATGATTTCGTAGTTACCGGATTTTATTTCGATAAAATAAACAGGAACGTACGATGTGAATTTCAAATAAGTTCGTCACCGTTACGCGCTTAAGGGGGTCTTCTAGTTTCAAAAAAATCGATTTTTATTTTTTTTGCATATATCGAAAGTACAGCTCTTCAAGAATGTACTCCTGAAGTTTTATAGTTGTATTTAATAAAGTAACGAAGTTATAGCTCGTTTAGTGTGACATATCAAGGGAGAATTTAAATTGCACTGAAAACTTTAAACGCGTTTTTCTCGGAACCATGTTTTCTGAAATGGTTGCCACGATCTGGCAAAAACTACTCAACCAATCGAACTCAAATTTTTCACATATCTTCAGAACACGTGTGACTATGGTCGGTAGTAGAATTATGCCAAAATATATATTTTTCCGATTTTTAGAGCCTCTGAAAGACGAAAAAAAGTCGAAAAAATCGATACTTCGTATTCAGAGTGCCGCCATTTTTTAAATTTTCAATATTCTTCTTTTATTCTACTACCGACCATAGCGACATGCATACTAAACAAGAATCAATTGAATTTTTTATTTCTGATAAGCAGAACAGCTCAAATCATGGCAACCATGGACCTACCTTCTTTTTCATGCTCCTGTTTCACGTGTTCCACAGCAGTCATATTTAATTATTTTTCAGCAACAAAAATTTGTAATGATTTTTCAAGGACAAGTAAATGCACAGGAATAAAGCTCATGTTAATAACTTTTACCGTACTTCTGTAATAAATTAGCAAAAAAGGTCTAAAAAACGGCCGTCACACTAGAAGACCCCCTTAACCCTCATCCGTCCTTCGTGCCAATTTGACAAACTTTTCCGGTAAACAATTGTATTATTCGGCTATCTGTAGAAAAAATTTTTCGTTTATTTTGTATATTTAATAGAAGAATTTACAAAATTAATTATTTATCTTTTCGTTTAATTAATTTTTTACCATTGTGTCAAATTAACACCGAAGGACCTATTAAGATGCGAGGGTTAATATCGTCACGTTGTTATCAGAAATCTGATTATATTGCAGTGTCTGGAGAATCGTTTCATTTTTATCGGATACAAGATTTTACGCTCTTTATGCACTGCAGCCGTAATAGTATCACGGTTAAATTAATCGTAGGTGATACTTTCACATAGATTTACATAGATTGCTTTAATTCATGCTTGGGTAAAATTACTCTTCGCATGTAACGTGTAACAAGCTCCCTTATAAAACATAACGTTCGAGTTTTTCGCATATAATAGCTCTCCGAAGAGCAATTAAGAATGAAGCATTGTGACGGTAAAAACAGTGGTCTAATCAAACCAGCCATCTCGGAAATTAATGTTTCAAGTATGTTCAAGCTTCGTCCAATTTTACATTCTTTCATATATTTAACTCGGTTATAGTAGGTAACTATTAGAAAAAAAATTTTCGGTGTTGGTAATTATTACACGTGTATGTGCCAACTACTTATTGTCGCGATGGTGATCGCGCTTTATTAGTGATGTCGATTGTTGCGGACTGGACCGCACTGGTGTATCAAGATGTCGAGTATTGCCTGTTAGAGCGCTCAAAGTGGTGTCGATTGTTTCTAAGTATATTAGAATCTCCTCGAATGTCGTGAACTGGCTGTATATATCTCCTTTCGCCAAAATGGGCAGTTTACCTTGTTGGCAAATCATGGGCCTTTCACCCCATAGAGCCGCTCTCCTAGGCCCTCGTGCACTCCCCTGTGGTCCGCAGAGTAGGGCGGTGGCAGAGAGGGAGAGACGGTCCCAAAACGGGGGTGTCAGCCCCGCGTGGCGATCTTGCCGAAACGTCGACTTTGCGGGTTTATGGCATGTTTACCGTTACTGAGCGCGCAGAGGCAAGTACCGGCTTACCATGTGGTCCGCAGAAGTGGAGAATTTCCGCGGCCATCAGGTAATAAGCCGGATTTGCCCTCTGGCTTGAATAGGCTATTGTTATCAAAAAACTTGTAGAAAAGCTTCTCAAAAGTAACGTCGCTTGGAATTCGTGCCATAAACCCCGGTTGGTTAAACAAATTACGTAGAAAAATTGAATTAATACTTGACCGAATGAGTAGGTTCTGTGTAAATATTATTTCCCCATAATGTTGGATATATATATGGTATTTAACAAGACGTCGTTAATCTCTGTCAGCTGTACTTATGTTTCAGACTACTTTCAGTTATTTATCGATAAATTGGTTCGACAAATTCTTTACAAATTGCTTGAAATTCTTTAACAGTGGAATATTAGTTCGTGGTCCTTTATCGAAGCAGCTGAGATGCTTTGAATTTTTCTGATAAGCTTTCTTATACTTCCTCTATTTACTTTCCCTATTAATCATTTGATCGTTAATTACTGTCGCTTGATAACTACACTCGTGTGCAATGTAATATTAGTTGTATGGAAATTAATTATGCAGTATATGAACATTACGGTTTCACAAGCCTTGCAGTATTTTGTATTGTAACAGCAGGTAGTTATGACAAAATTTTAAATAACACTGTACCTATTTCGTTACTGAATTGAAAGGTACATATAAAATACATAACGTTGCATTTTATGCTGTAAATGGATATCAGTAAAAAATTCAAATGGATACGTTAAGAACACGTTAAACCTTCTACTCCTAAAGTAAAAGTTATGTTTTATTCTGCGTGAAGAAAATGCGAAAAATGTATTTATTAGGATAGATATAGAAAAATATTACTACGAAATCATAAAAGGAAAAATTGCTAGGAAGAGTATGATGTCAGTTTTGTAACTTTTAATAAATTAAGTTCGGGGAATTTATTGTGTTATTTTATTTTCGTTCCGTTGCTTCACTTTAACGTATTCAAACTTTTCTGTGGGACAGATACACATACGAATCTGAAAAGTAACTTAAAAAATCATAACTGTATGAATATAACCATATTTTCAATTTTCTTTTTTAAAAAATCTCAGAATCGTTTAATTTCATGTCAACATTAAAAACAATGTGTCTATGATACATCAATGAATCAAAATTGCCATTTAGTTACTAATTATTACCACATTTTCTCTTTTCTTTTTTAAAAACTCTTACAGAATCGTTTAATTTTATATCTAAGTTAAAAAAATGTCAACGATATGTCAGTGTCAATGATATGTCCAGGTTGAAACATTCAAAAATTAAATTAATTAAAAAAAAGTTTTTTAGTCCATCCGACTAGATCAAACAGAAAATAAGAATAACTCGGAAAGAACACGTGTGGCCTGCACCTATCCACTCCGAATCCGTTAAGTTCAATTGTATCGGTTGAAGTGTGCTTTCTCTTAGATCCATTTACAGATTAAAATGGAACGTCGCACGTGCGGCCAGAGCAAACGAACGAAAACAAACCTCAATATCCGCGCGTCCATAGGCACTCCGCGGAATCATTTGCAACGCTAACGAAACGCCGCGTGCGTTCTGTTCCTCACTCACAGGCCAAATGGCTGTGTGAATAAAAGAGAACGTTTTAAAACATGAATTCTCCGTCTAACTTTTTTCCTATTATATTGCTGTCTATAGTGTACGAAAAACCCTTGCTTCTTAACCCTTTCTCTAAGAATTACGTGTATATATGATCTGCAAGAATTATAAACTCATTTAAGAAGAGCGTACACATACGCCCGTCTAATACGTACAATTTGAAAATTTATTTTCGCACTTCGCAAATAAAATACCGCTGTCGAGTAAAAGTTAGGCAATATGTATCTGAGTGTATTAGACATTTGATTATTGTGAAACATTTGATTTTATTTTTATCTTTTTTTTTTTGTTTCGTTGAATACGCAGGGAGTATTTTTTGTTGCAAGTGTGTCGTAGCGAAAGGGTTGAATTGGCAGACTTGCGATAAATGTAACATTGACAATGTTAATTTTTTATTTTATTATTCAATATATATATATCTACGGAAGTATTGCATTTATTGGATATATATATACTACTTCATCATTTCCTATCAGAGATTAGCATAGCGAAAGGGTTAAGGAGTTACATCACCCTGAGACGTCTAAAAATAGGTAAAAGTTTGGGAATTTTTTCGCAGGTAACTGCTGAATGAAAATTTTCAATTTTTTTAGAGGATATAAATATAAGCTTCAGCTTTCTTTTGCAATTTTTATAAAATAAAAATGTTACAAAATGAAGGAGTTACTGCGAAACCTTTTTTGCTGGAATATCGACCAACGTTGGCAATAATTGGAATATCCGAAATAAACATAAATAAATATAACGTAGCTTAAAATTTTTCAAAAATTTTAATTATTATAGAAATGGTACCAATTTGAACAGGAAAAATCACTTTTTACCAAAAAGAAAGCGATTTCAAACGTTTCTAAAAAGTTAAATAATCGACATATCGAAAACATAGTAAACCACATTATAAACAATACATTTTTATTCATAAATCAATAAAAACTTTTTATTTCAGACATTCCAATCCTTCCCAACGATGGTGGATATCGATCGATATTCCAGCAAAAGAAATTTCCCAGTAACTCCTTAATTTTGTAACATTTTAACTTCCAAGAAATTCGAGAAGAAAGCAGAAGGTTACGTTTATATCCACCGAAAAACTTGAAACTTTTCATTCAGTGGTTACCTACGAAAAAAATTCCCGAAGTTTAGCCTATTTTTAGGCGCCTCGGGGGTGCTGTAGCCTCTTAAACGGTTATTTAGCGAGGCGAAATTTTCAACGAGATGTCTAACAAAACGAATTTGACGAAGCTCACAGGTGGTACTTGGGTGTTGGGTGAAGTACTTTGCGACTCGTGGGTCTCCCTCGACGTTCTCCTCTGTACTGCCAGCATTCTCTCGTTATGCGCCATATCCATAGACAGGTGAGTCGTTCTTGAATCGCGGCACGTAAATGGAACAAGATTACCGTGAAAGATTTTCTCGCGTGTGTGAATAGAGTGGCGAACGTCGTTTGGTGTAGTATATATCGGTCGAATTCCGGAAAGTCAAGTATCCTGTTTAGTCAACGAAATGCCGGCCTCGCGTTAGAAAAGGGATCGTTTAAAGTTTAGAGGGGATTTGCCGTGGAAGAGAGGAAAAAAACGCGGTATGGTGAAAGGAGGATGTTAAAAAAAGGTCAATTTTGGCATACGGCCGGAACGAAAAATTTTTTACAGCATGATTCTACGAATCCTGAGGAATAAAAAAATGTAATTGTCATTTTTCCCGGAAAAGATGGGAAAGTTATGAAAAATGCGGTTCAAGGAAAGAATATGACCATACTTATAACTTATATTCCGTCTCGTTTAAACTTAGGATAGGATAAAACGAAACTGTTGCAGTAATTAATCTAATTAGCTATACGTAGGCTCTCCTCTATAACTCAATCATTCGATTGTGTACGTATGTATACATACATATTATTCACGAATATACATACCATGAAACTGTAGCTGTGTAGCTCGCAGAGTCACGCTTCTCGTTTGATTATTCTCCCAAGCTGAGCTGTCCGTTGTGTACTTGAATTCGGTGCACTAACTTCTTGTATGCAGCGGCACTTAATTCACTCGAACGAATATGCTAAGTACGTAAATTGATTCGAAATCTACGCACAATAGAAACCGCTTTATTCGAGGTAGCACTGAATTTTCTACAACACTATGATAGCACGGTGCAAACGTCATTAGTCGACGCACTCGTTCGGTAGGCCTCTAGACAGCAACTGCGTACGTGACGATTTGCCCGATTCTGCTCCCTGGCACGCAGCATTCTGGGAAAAATCCTAGGCGTGTTAGTGACCCTCAAGTATGTACGTGGGCCTAGTCAACCTCACGTATCAAAACATTGCGCGAGGCTCGCGATATTTTTTGCTAGTGAAACATAAGAAACTCGAGCAAAACATAAGAAATTCGAGCCAGAGTCGTTGTCTGTATTAGATGGAACTACACACGAAGCTACGTGCCATTTTGAAAGTAAAACTATCGCGAGAGAGAGGGATTGCTCTCGAGAGTATCTCTCGCGAGTGGACACTCCCCCTGAGCTGGACTGTCCGAGAGTAAAGTCGACTGTCCGAGAGTAAAGTCAACTGTCTGAGAGTGAACGTGTCCAGACTTGTTCTCGAATGGGTACGAAATCAGACTGCTGTCGGACAGTTGCTTTGCAAAGACCAAGTAGTTTCGCATTCTGAAGAGAACTCTCGTGCGAGGAAAAAATGTCAGGAAAAGAAACTGGTCGAGAAATGAAATTATGGATTTAATCACTCTCCGTTGAAGAAAAATCGGTGTTGTGGAATCCGTAACGGAGAGAGAATATCGTAACAGAGAAAATTGTGAATATATGATAAATGTGTAAATTGATTCGAAATGTGTATAATCGAAGACGCACTGTATTCCCTGCAAGACTAATCACGCAGTATAAGCGACGTTCGTGACTTCTTAACTTCTTAGAGTTCGTGATATTTCTTGCGTGCCAAACATAAGAAACATAAGCTAGCTGTCTATTCGCGCACAGAAAAGAGTTAGCGGGATAAGAATTTTCTGATTTTATATTACTTTTATTGGGAAAACCGAGAACAAACACCACGCACGTAGTCTTAATACAATACAGTACGCCATACTTCTTTTCGCTCGACGCATGCGCGATCGCCGCTCCCAACGCCGCTCGACGGACGCATGCGCGATCGCTGCTCCCAACGCCGCTCAGCGGACGCACGCCGATCACGATAAAAAGACGCGCCCCTTTTAAATTCAAACCGTTACACTATCCGTTTGAGAGTAAAACTATCCCGAGTTTCTCACGAGTGGACACTGCGTCCGAGAGTGACTGTCTGAGAGCATCGCTCAACTCTCTGAGAGTTACGACTCGAATAAACAATTATTTTTCATAACTTTCCCATCATTTCCGGGAAAAATAACAATTACATTTTTCGTTCCTTAGGATGCGTAGAATCATGCTGTAAACAAATTTTTCGTTCCGGCCGTATCCCAAAATTGGCCTTTCTTTAACATCCGCCTTAAGTGGCCGATCACGTCCCCGCTTTTCTCCTCTGCGCGCGTTTTACATACATATATCGATCTGTGCTTAAATCGCTGAGACGTAACCGTATCGTTGAAAATTAAAAGTATGAAAAACCATTGTTGGACACGCCAGTAAGAGAATTTTCTGATATTTTAATTTGCAATGGTTTGTTTGCTTTTTATTAAAATAGCACGATGCAATATCATTCTCGATCGAAGTTTCTAATTTGGAAACAGTTGGAGGCACTTTTTACATGAAAATTACAAAAAAAAAATTGAATTTTGGTTTTCAATAAATTTCCATTGTATTTTCTTTTGAATCTGATTACGTATCACTTTTGTAACTTTTAAGAAATTATGTTTAGGAAGTTTATTTTTGCTTGTATTAAAACTTTTTTATGCAACATAAAAATTTCAAAAATGACTTAAAGTAGACAAACAAAATTTTGTGTAATATTATAAATTACAACTTAAATAGAGGTGTGCAGTTAATATGCCTTAAATTGGAGCTCTAAGTTGTATTTATAATACCATAATTAACACGAAACAAATAATACAGTACTACTTAATTTTCAATATAGTTTAAGTAAAAAATTGCACAACAAAATATTCATAGCACAAGTGTCTCCAAAATACGTTAAAATTGCAAACAAAAAGTGAATCAAATAACAAATCTTCCTTAAAGTTCACTTATTTCACCAACAAACTGCTTTCTCACTTAATTAACTCCACCATAGTCATCGAAACGTATAACATCGTCTCTCGAAGTAACACTTACAATTCAAAGTAGAATCAATCGAAATTACTTTCTAGTCGATAAAAAATTCTAAAAAAATCACAGAAAACTGGTAGAAAATTTCGAACTGACTTCAACTCTCGTTCAAGGTACCTAGCCGTAACTCAACCGCTGGTATACAGCCGACGACGACGTAGCAAAAGATTAGCCGGCTTGATGATTGTCGCTGTATGGGTGCTGGCCGGCGCTATCACCAGTCCACCGCTGCTCGGATGTTTTCCACGTGCAACGAATCGTGACAAGAAAAAGTGCTCGTATAATATGGACTCTTCGTACGTGATATTTTCCGCGATAGGTTCCTTTTTCCTGCCGATGCTGGTGATGCTTTACGTTTACGGGAAAATATCCTGCGTGATTGCCAGCCGACACAGAAACCTCGAGGCTACGGAAAACGAAAATATTCGACCGCGTCGCAACGTTTTGGTAAGAACGCTTTCAAACTATTATTTTCTGGTACTCTAGCGTTGCTGCTGTTAAGTTTTCTGTAGAAACGGTTTATGGCACGATCGACCGGGAACGGTTATTAAAGAGTTGATGATTTTCGTTTATTGCTTGTACGGCTCACATTACCTCCTCCAAGGGTCACTAGAATTGCTTTGCAAGATTTTTAGTAATTTGTGTCCCTCGCGCTCAATAGCCTACGAACAGCATATCTGTATGTAACGGTCCGCTTGCCGATGAGTCACCCGGAGGAAATTTCAGATTTTTGGGACTTTCCGTCCACCCCTTCCAAGGTGACAACGCGCTAAGGGCGCACTGGAAGGGAGGTAAAGATGATAATTGTAAGATGGTAATTGTCGAGTAGTCGTAGAACCACCACAAGGAGAACCAAGGAGCAACCAGTTCAAGTCCCAATCATATTGGGTGGTCCTTCGAATCATTATCCAGACGGCATAACATCGTGCAAACGCTACAAGGCTCGAAAGTTCATCGCCACAACCACGGGCATTAACAGTTGCTTTCTGTGAAATATCGAAGCTACCGAAAATTTCGAAACCTTCTTTGTTCCATTGTTCCGTTTTGTGAATAATTTATCTGTTTGAAGAGCGAAAACTGATTTCAATTTGCTAACGTTTCAGAATTTATTAGTGAATTCTATTTCTTTCATTTGCTATAAAGTCTGTGAAAAATATTGACGCGGTTGATAAACTGGTTTGAATAACTTTGTGGGATTTTTATTAAAATCTGACGAATGTCGAAGGGAGAAGTAACGAATGAATAACTAAATATTAATTGATAATTACTGGTAATGCAACAGAAAAATATCGGAAATTTTCAGATATAGAGTGACACGATTATTTAATTCGTCAAATTTATTATTTCGTAATTTGGTAACCATAACACACAATATTGAAAGCTTTTTTAATTATATTAAGCCGCCGCTGCTAACGAAAGCTTTTTCAGTTTGATTAATTTGAATTGACTTATTTGTATCAAATGTGACACTCGTGAAGCAGTAAATATTTGCGAAAAAATATTGTATAAGCACTGAATATAAGGAATGTTGCATGTAAACAATTATGCCGGCGATAAAATTCAAGGACGAAACCAATATATCCACTGGGTTAGCAAGTTTCAGAAGTGACTGTTTACAAAAGCGAGCATCTTTGCTCTTGTTTCCGTAATTTATTGACTTCCTCCTGTTTTCGGTAAAGAATGTTTTCGATTGTCATCAGAATTGTTCACGCGTGAAGGCTGCTCCTACATGCAGCCCTAGTTTCTGGCACGTCCTCTTAAATTTAAGGTTTTGCCCCTTGTCGTAATTCATTTCCCAATTTTATTCCCTCTTTGTCCATGGAACCGCGTATTTTAATGAAACTCGTTTCGTATATGCATATGGATCATTTGAAAACATTCTCGGAATGAATTATAGGTAGCAAAAAAAGTTGTGAAATTTCTAATTTATCCGTGACATTTCTGTGACAAAATTTTCTCAAAATACTTTACGATTTTTGCCATAAAGCAATAAGTTTATTGACCCAAAAATCATGAAATTAAGAAGAAAACAAATATTTTGCAAAGTTTCGTTCTTCGATTTTTTCGTAATTTTGATTTCGAGACTTAAGGTCTCATTATTTTTTTCCCAATAAAATATTCAATCTCGCTAATTTTAAAGCGTGTCAGATTCGCTAACAGCATAAATCAATCAGATGCTGATTTCAGCTTACTCGGGAAGGCCGACGAGCACGTATAAATGAAAAATCGATTCGCAATTTGAATCTATTGATACTAATGCTTGCAAACCTGTTACAACGTCACTGTTCGACAGATTTTCACTGGCAAAATGTAACGTGAAACTCGTGAATAT